GCGCGCTACCAAGGGCTATGAGATGACGCTCTGAGCAGCTGGACATCAGCGAGTGCGATGAGGGGACGCTTTCCTGGAAACACACGGCAAAGAAAGAAATGCGCGGACACGGAGGACGGCCCCGCTAAATCCTACGCGAGCATTTCACGGATAATTCCCGCCCGTTCCCCTCCGCCTCTCCCTAACGCTTTTTGAGGCCAGCATTACCCTGATGTGAGAGACAGACGACACACGGCAAGGAAGACAAAGACAAAGACAAAACCCACCACGGACCAGAATCCCTTCGGCCCCAGATGCAGAACTCTTCCGGGAAAGGCGAGTGGATCAGACCTAGCAGCACAGGGCAAGGGCTGTGGAGCCAGCACGACTGAATTTGCACAGAGCCACGCAAGACCCCAAACGGTCAGCGCCACCTGGAGGGAAGAAGACGATGATGAGCGGAGCTGTCCCGCTCCCCGTGGCCCCATGTAACGCGGAGCTCGGACGGGCACAACGGCAAGGGGCCGGAGTGAAAACAGAGCTAACGCTGCACGTACAGGCAGTTGACTTGTAACAAAGGTGCCAAGAGCAGAGCCTCCCCTGGTGGCGCAGCGGTTGAGCGCTGGGCTGCGAAGCTGCCCGCAGCCTCTGCAGCGCCGGTTCGATCCCCGGCCTCCAGGCGAGGGTCCCACATGGCGCGGCAGACCTCTCCTGCCTCGCCCGCTGCTCCCCTCAGCAGTGTGTTTCGTCAGTCTGCCTGTTCTGCTCCCCGCTCTGGCTCTGGTGAATCCTCTCACCCTCCCGCGCATCTGGCCTGAACCCCAGTTCTTGTATAAATAAATGTTTAAAAAGAAATTAAAGCAAGGTGGATTAAAGACACGGATATAAGACCCGGAACCACAAAATACACGAGGAAACCGTAGCTGACACACTCCGTGACATCGGCCTGAGAGATGTCTTTGGGTTTGGACCCCAACAACTAGGGCCACGAGTGCACAACCAAATGGAAGTGCCGCAGGCCAAAAAGCTTCGTTTAAGGGGAAAGGCGCCCTGTGGAATGGAAGAAGTCATCTGTACCCCACACGCCCGACAAGGGGTTAATGTCCAAGGCATATAAAGAGCGCATATAACGCCACAACAAAAACAAATAGCCTAGTCACAGGTGGGCAGAAGATTCGAAAAGACACTTCTCCGAAGAAGACGTCCACGATGGCCGACGGGCACGTGAAAACAATGCTCCTCACCGCCTGTCATTAGAGAAACACAATCAAAACCACGGTGAGATCTCACCTCACGCCTGGGAGAGAGGCCCACATCAAAAAGACCAGCGACGATGAGTGTGGGCAAGGGTGTGGAGGAAAAGAAACCCTCACAGAGCGTCGGTGGGGATGCAGATTGGTGCGGCCGCCATGGAAAGCAGCCAGGAGGCTCCTAAAAAAATTTAAAACTAGATCTACCCTCTGCTGCATGAGTTCCAAGTCTGGGTGTCTATCCGAAGAGTACAAAGACACGCTGACTCAAAGGGATGCATGCACTCCCGTGGCCATGGCAGCACTACTTACTACAGCCAAACTGAGGAGACAAGCCAGGCGCCCCAGGACCAAGGCCCGGGAAGATGCAGTCTGCACACAAGATGGGACACAGGAAGGCTCACTATGGAAAAAGAGGAAACCTTGCTGTTCGCAACAACATGGATGCAACTGGAGGGGATGATGCCGACTGAAATAAGTCAGAAGGAGAGAGACACTTGTCGATTTCAGTCAGACGTGGGCTGCAGACAGACAACGAAAAGGAACAGGCTACTCCAAGGCAGACAGATTGTCGCTGCAGAACTGTGGTTGCCAGAGGGGATGGGGCGGTGGGGGGCCAAGGGCAAGGGGACCCAGTGGGCTGTGCTGGTGCATTACTGTGCTTTGATGATGGGCGTGGTGTGGTACTATGCCTGTGAAGACGTGTGCCCACCTGTACTCCTAAAATAGACAGTGTTGTGAACCAGTCTTACCTCAATTAAAAAAAAAAATTTAAGAAACTTACCCAAAACAAAATAAAAGCAAATCTAAGACCCCCCTCAAGATAAAACAAGAGGATCACACCTCCACCAAGAGTGGCCCAATGCATCAAAAGCAACCAGCGCTAACGCACCACTGCAGGTGAGTGAGGGAAGAAACCTACCTTATTGCAACAGATGAAGAAAACGCATTTGACAAAACCCAAAGTGTGTCATTTTTTTTAAAGATTGATTCATTTATGCATACAAGAACCGGGGTACAGTCCAGATGTGCGGGAGGGTGAGAGGATTCACCAGAGACAGAGCGGGGAACAGAACAGGCAGACGGACGAAATACACTGCTGAGGGGAGCAGCGGGCGAGACAGGAGAGGTCTGCTGCGCCATGTAGGTATCTCGCTGGCTGGCCGGGATCAAACCAGCGCTGCAGAGGCTGCGGACAGCTTCGCAGCGCCACACTCAACCGCCTGCGCCACCAGGGGAGGCCCTAAAGCCTGTCATTATTTAAAAAAAAAAAAAAGCCAACAAAGTGGGAACAGAACTTGCTCGTCGGGACCGAGAGCCGGTGTGGAAGACCGACAGCTGAGCTTGCACCTGGGGACAGTCAAGAGCGCCCACTTTTGTGTTCACAGCTCAACACCACATGGGACATTCTAGCCAGCGCCACCAGGCAAGAGACAGAAAGAGCATCGGCTGAAAGGCCAGGATTTGTCATCTTTGTATTGGCCCACGATATGCTCTCATGTGTCAAAACCCGAAGAATCCGCCAGAAACACCCACAGGTGCTAACTGACAAACGCAGCAAAGTGGCAGGATATGAAATGCGGTCGCATCTTGCACACTAGTAACAAGCAGCTCCAAATAGCTCCACTAGTAACAGCAACAGGAAGATCACGACACTTGAGGATAAACACGACAGGGATGTGAGGCCGGCAGGTGGAGAACGACAAAGCGTCGCTGTGCTGTCGGCATGGAGCAAGGCCCCGGGGTTGGAGAGGCTCCGCCCCAGCGGGGATCGGATGACATGGTGCCCGCGACAGTCACCAAGCAGTCTACAGACTCCACGCAGCCCTAGTCAGGGTCTCACGGCTTTTGGGGCACAGCTGGGAAAGCCAACCCGACTGCGAGTCTCAGTCGCAGCGGGAAAGTCGCCAGGGCCCCCAAACAACCAAAACCATCTCGCAAAAGGTCAGCGCTGAAGGGGTCACACTTTCAGGGTTCCAGAGTCTCCAAAGCCGCCGAGACCAAGACGGTGTGATCCTGGCCTAAGACAGGCGCGGAGAGCGACAGCACCGAGTCGAGAGCCCGCCAGTGGGTGTGGACATCAGCGGCCACGCAGCTGCCACGGCCGGCTCCGTGAGAAAGGGCGCTGGGCTCTGATGTCCACACGCAGGAAGACAGAGTTGGCGCCCGCCTCTCTCTGTAAGCAAGGGTGGCCTCAAAATGGGTCCAAGGTGTAAACAGAGAAGCTGCGTGGAAACATGCCTCTGACGCGGGGTGAGCCTACACCCCCAAACCGGACGTTCCTCGTCTTGCCGCAACGTCAGCCGCAATAAGCAACGACACACAGACGCGCGAGCGAGTCAGTAGCTCTGTGCTGCTGGCGTGTGGCCTGGGTGGTGGCACCTGGGTGGCAACAAGAGCACAGAACAGGGTGACAGGGCGAACGGGCCGCACGGAAGGCACAGCTCACTGAGACGACAGGTCACGGCGGCAGCAAGGTCAGCGCGCTCCGTGTGGCGCTGTCGAGCACCCCACTCCCGGGAAGATGCCCCACTGCACCCAAAGCCGGCACCCCACGCAAGACGGGCGGCGACGGTCCCGAGCGCCACTCACCAGTCCCGTGGCCGGGAGGCGGAAGCGGCGGCACGCCCTGGGGTGACACCGCAGATGCTGCAGAGGAAAGCTCCGCCTGAGGAATATTCTTCGGGTGGGAAAAGCAGGAGCCGCTTTATGTGCTGCAACACGGAGGGACACACAGAAGCTCTGCTGAGAGGGACGGGCACAGAAAGCCACCGTGGTCTGAGGGCGCTCCCGTGAAATGTGCACGAGCGGCGCCGCCACGTGCAGGGAAGCAGATCTGCGGGCGCCCGGCGCGGGGAGGGAGAGGGGGGGCTGCTGCCGCGGCCCCAGTATCTCCTTTGGGACTGATGGGGAGGCTGGGAACGCTAGAGACGTGGCGGTGCACGACTGCCAAGGTACTGGGTTGCTGGGCCGCACCCTTTTGACACGCGTCCACGTGGTGTGGGTCCCCCAGAACAAAGGAACAAAACACTGGGACGATTTCCAAAGGCGCGGTCTCCCCGCTGAGAAGCCGCTGGCCGCCCCCCGCCCGCTGCCCACACACTCCTCCCGTTCTCACCACGACCTGGCTGCAAGCGAGGCCGGCTCAGTCCCGCTGCTGCCCCTTCCTGGGACTCACCTCCTCTCTGTGGACCTCTCCTGTCCGTCCCCGCCCCCCCGCCCCCCGCAGGAGACCCGAACGAGTTCCTCTCTCCAGGGACTTGAATGTGGGCCGAGTCACACAGAGCCCTGAGGGCAGCTCGGTGGAGAGGGCCCATGGGAGTCCCTGGCCGTTAGTGGGAATAACACAGGCGTGACGGGTGTGGGGGGACCAGAATTCTGGTCGGAGGACACATCTTCTGGAGGGCAATTAGGCACTCGTGGAAGAAAATCATGAAAAGTAAATAAATCAGTAGGTGGTTAGCTTCGTATTTCTACCTTTTGGAGCCCATGTCTAGGACACAGGTGTTCCCGGTGAGACTGCTGTGCAGGAGTTGCATAAGGAGAAAGTGAGGACAACTAACGGCCGTCAATTACATCTTAATGCATCTGAGTGCATCTGTTCAGTCATGGTTTTGAAAGAAAACATTTTTAGAAGGAAACATAATGCTCCATGAAAAGAATTAAGGAAAAGGCTAACAGCGACCTCCCATTAGCTTGCATTATTGTTGCAGCGGCTACATAGATGCAGCGCATGCTCAAAATAGCATTCCACCATGGTGAGAGGCCTAAGGCTAGCAGAAGCCTGGTCTTTTTTCCCCAGTTCCCACCTTATCCTGAGCTGTGTCACCGCAGCGCCTCCTCTCTAACCCTCCAGCGCAGGCAAGGCACACTGGTGGCTCAGGAGCCGAAAGGAAACTCTGCCATGAAATAGGGCTCGCATTTTATTTCCTGCAGTAATGAACCTCCACAACCTTCCCTCCAGCAACGAGGAAACAAACCAAGTGGACCTAGGGTCCAAGGCCCAGTGTCACGCAGGCCCCAGGAAGCAAGTGGCAGCCTTCTGGAAGCCGGCCCCTGGCCTGGGACACAAGGCTGGGCCTTAGCCCCCAATTCCCGGTGGAGAAGCAGGGTGAATCAGGCGCCCAAAGTGGAGTATGCTTCGCACCACGTGGGAAAGCTGGTCCAGAAACACGGTGAAGGAGAGCTGCAGCAGACGCAGGTCTTCCGCAATCCACCTGCTGAGAGGGACGGGCAGGAACGTCAAGGCCAGGGCGAGAGCGCCGCTGCCACGCGTGCATGCCGAGCCGTCGGCTGTCTCCCCGCCGCCAGCGGACACCCTCCCTCTGAAGCAGAGCCTCAGCGTGCGCTGCCTCCCACCCCGGGTCCTTCTAGAACTGACACCACCAGGAAGCTGCCGTGCACGAAGAGCTCCTTATGGATGGCATGCGGGTGCGGCTCCTCGTAGGGAGCCAGGGCTTGGTAGGCGATCTCGGCCTCCCAGGCAGACAGGAACGGCACCCTGAGGGTGCTGGGGAGGAGGTTAAGGAACCCTGTGCCGCCTACTGGAACCTGCCAGCCTCCTGGCCCTGGTGGCTGCTTTCCACGCCCCACACCCATACCCAGCCCGCTCCTCAGTCCCCCTCAGGCCCTCAGCGCCTCCCCCCCCTCCCTGGGCTGTCTCCTCAGCGCAGACTTCGCCCCCAGGCGGCTTCCCCGCTCTGCCACCCTCTGGCTCTGCACACACACCCCTGCTGGCCCTTCAGGCCACCCAGACCTTCCCCTCCCCTCTGGCCTTTCCCTTCCAGCGGCTCCCGCCCCTGCTGTGCTCCCCTCTGCGGCCTCCCCATCCCACAGCGGGCTCCGCGTCAGGATACAACTCATGAACGTGGATCCTCGGCCTTCTGGCAGCGCCTGGGGGACCTCTGCCTCGACCTCGGCCGTGAGCTGCACGGCCCACGGCACCCCGGCCACCGCGGCCGCCACGACCATCTCGGTCCCCCCGACCACCTCGATCCCCCGCGCCATCGACTGGGGCCTGCATGTCCACCCTCCCTGCCTCCTCAGACCAGACGAGAAGACAACACCCTCAGGCCGCCAGCAGAAGGACGGCGGCCTTTTGGCGCGCAGGGGAGCTTGGGAGGCCCAGGGCGCCTGCGCAGACAGGCCTTAAGCGAGGTTCCCCGGCTGCTGATTGGTTCCCGTCCTGGGCCCTGCTAGCCATCAGACCCTGGAAGACCCTGTAGTTCCTCAGGAAGTCCCGCCCCTTGGCATGAGGCTTCCGCAGCCCGTCGCTCCCCAGTGCGCCTGTGCAAACAGCCCTCGAATGACGCCTCTAGCATGTGGTTAGCTTTTCACCAACGCAGCTTGAAAGCTGTTCCAGGGAAGCCTGGCTGGCATCCTCTCCAGCCGGAAGATCTGGGCCCAACAACGGACTCCCAAATTACAAAGGGAGCCCCGCAGGACACAAAGACCACCCCATGACCTCGGGGAGCTCGGGTGGTGGGGAGGGTCTCTCCACCAGGGCAGGGGGACAGGCCCGCAAGCCCGCTGGGCCCACCGGGCCGGGGCCGGGCCTGGCCTGTCCCTCGGGCTCCCACGAGTCTGTGTGTGCTGGGCACAGTCTGCACCCCCAGGCCCACCCCGCGTGACGAGCGGTCCTCGCGCCTGGCCCGCCCCACACCCCCACCCCGGCGAGCCGGGTGACACGGGCCTTGCACCCTCGGCACCATTGCTCCCTCCGGCCACGGTCCCCGGGCGCCCTCCCCGGGTCGCGTCCGCAGCCCGGCGGAGCGCTGGCTGCAGGCAGGGGCACCGAGTCGGCGGCCACCCCACCACCCCGCCCAGGGCACCCACGAGGCCCCGGGAGGGAACTGGGACACTCGGGGCTGTGGGAGGGGGCAGCTGCCCCGCACACCCCTGGCACGGCTTCGCTCCAGGGCCCGGGGTGCTCTGCGGCTCATCCTCAGAGGCTCCCTCCCCCACCCGCCCCCAGGAGCAGCCTTGGATCCGAGTCTCTGGCCACATTAGGAGGGCGACTCCAGCGGTGGGAAGCACCCTGTGCCCAGATGCAGGGGGGCAGAAAACGGAGCTTGTGCTGGACAAGGGGGGCGGCGGTGGAGGGGGTGGGGCGACAGCTGGGAAGGCTTGCCGGGTGAGGCATCCCAGAGGCTCAGCACCTGCTGAAGGGTGAAAATTGTCTGGGAAACAGCGGGAGCAGGCGGCTGCCGAGGGCCAGCGGGACGCACGTTTCCCCTCATTTGGTGTTGCTTTTCCTCCCCTTGCCAGTCAGCTCGACGATTCTGATGGGTTTGATCCCAGGGCTGGGCCTGGCCCACCTGAGCCCTGTCCCCCAACCCACGGCACTCCCATCCAGCCACACTTGGAGGGGGTTGGCAGCAAGGCACTGGGCAGGGAAAGCTGGAGCACGAAGGAAGCCAATGTCAGGAAGCAGATCCAGATCCGGAGCCGTCTGGAGCCAGGAAGCACCATGACCCTGGTCAGCTGGGCACCAGGACAGGAGTTGGGGGGGATCAGCCCTGGGGTGATATCCCCCACACCCACTCCTTGCCTCCCCTGGTGAGTTCACCCAAGCTGGTGGTTTTGAAGAGAATCTGTATTTGTTGACATCTCCCAAGGATCTTCCTCCATTGCAGACTCCAGAACTCCACATGCCTACCGGCAACTGCCAACTAGACAGCGCGACTTGGATGTGAAATACAGATGTCAAGTCCACGCGTCCAAGGTCAGTGCTCAGCCACAACAATAATGAGGCTGAGCGGGAGTATAATGCCAGCCAGAGGACCCCGAAATCAAACGCAGACATGCACTTGTTAAAATGCAAGTTTTAAAATAAACACCGCAAGCTCAAATGAATGCTCGTGTGTGACTATGGGATAGATTAGAACCGGACCCTAGTTTTGAATGGAAGCATAAATTGACAATATGACATGTGGTTCTGTCCCGCACTGGCCTGCCAGCCCCACCCAAGCTCCAGATGCCACCCACCACGGTCCCATTGAGCCCTCACCTAGTTCACCCACTCCAGCCCGCTCCTCGGTGGCCACCAGCTCTTTATTTTTGCTTCTTGCCCGTCTGCTTTGTGTCTTCACCGTGAAAGCGAGGGAGATCTCGGACTCACTTCACCTAGCACAACGCCCTTGAGGCCCGGCACGTGGCGACAAGCGGCAAGGCTTCACCTTCGACACTAGCCGAGCGGACAGCTGCCCCGGGCGGAGGAAGGTCCGGTGGTGCGCGGCCGTACCAAGACTCGCATCTTGCCCAAGCTACAGGACCTCTGGTGGTCCCGCCCTACCTCTCCCTTTGACAGGGAAGGAAGCTCATCTTGAAGCTTTTGATGTCTTTCTAGTTCCCACTCGACCACAATATCATCTCATGCTGTTGCTTAGATAAATGATAAATCATTCAGTAAATTGATGCGAATGTATGTATTGTTGAATGGTACTGAAGTGGAAAAAAGTCAGGCGACCTGTTATTTAGCTAAAGTTATGTTAACACAAAGCCTCGATGTAGACTGAAAGTTTCAGGGAAATTGATAAATGTCCTCAGGGCCACACGCCTGACTTAGGCACCCCAGATAACCACTTAGGAATCTCCTTCTTCTGTATGCCCCCCCTTTATTTTTTTAGAGTGCAAGTGTACCCCTGCTGAGACAATAAAAGCAGTCAACTGCTAGGAGCTCAGACTTTGGAGAAAGACCTCCTGTGGGCCTGCCAATGTAAATAAAGAGCTTCCCTCCTCTCTGAGTGCTGCCTGGTCACCTGACGGAATCCTGCTGTAACAGTATTACCACCTCCCCAGTTCACAAATTCATCTCTAAGGATTCTACAAGTGGCTTATTCAAGGCGGGGGCCAAGATCACTGCCGGCATTTACTCCTCCCTGAACGCCAGAGTGCATCAAGGCAAGGGGTGATGTTAATAGTGCAAAAGTGGGGCCTCCCAGGTGGCGCAGCGGTTGAGCGCTGGGTTGCGAAGCTGCCCGCAGCTTCTGCGGCGCCGGTTCGATCCCCGGCTGCTCACCGGCCACCAGAGGAGGGTCCCACATGGCGCGCAGACCTCTCCTGCTGCCCGCTGCTCCCCTCAGCAGTGTACTTCGGTCCTTCTGCCTGCTCTGCTCCCCGCTCTGGCTCTGGTGAATTCTCTCACCCTCCCGCGCTTCTGACTGTACCCAGTGCTTGTATAAACAAAACAAACAAACAAATAAATAAAATAAAAACATGCCTCTAAAAAAAAAAAAAAAAAATAGTGCAAAAGTGGAGTGTCCTCAGCCACCACTCCCCACCCCTGGCAGCACTGCCCACAGGTGTATGCTCTTTTGCAAATGTGCCTGCCACTCTGTCCCATAAACTCCTGACAATCGAAGAGCTGACTACACGGTGAATTTGGGATTATCTAAGTGAGCCCTCCAAACTATGGAACGGCCTGCAGGTGACCCCGTTATTTGAACTGGGGAGGCTTTTTAACCCCCAGTCCCATCTGTAGACTCTGTTATACTGATGTCGGGACTTGAGGTTCAGAGACATCTCCAACAACGTTGGACAGTTTTATGCAACTACTGTCTCAACATCTTACCTTACTAAATTTGCCGGTAAAAGTGTTCAAACTACCAAAAAAAAAACCCAAAAAAACAAAAAAAACCAACTCCAGTTATTTGCACCCACCCAAACGTACCCGGCTGCCAGCCCTCCCCATCTGACTGGACAGCAGCTCCACCCTGCTCAGGCCAAAACCTTGGTGTGATTTCCACTCCCTAATCATCAAACTCCTACCGACTCTACATTCAGAGTTGATCTTAACTCAACCAGTTCAGGCTGTCTCGAATGCTACCCTCACCTTGACCCGAGCCACCAACACTGGCGCCCTGGATCTTGTCCTGTTGACCCCACTCAGTCTGTTCTGCACACAGCAGCACGAAAGTCCGACCAGACACTCCTCTGGCTCAAAACACGCAGCAGGCCGCCAGCACCCACCTCTCACAAACGGAGATGACAAGGAGGTGGGTGAAGATAGCTGATGTGAACAGCGCTAACAAGGAAAGCGAGCTACCCAAAAGTCACAGAGCGCTCCAGCTGGTTGCAGCAGGCCGCATATTCTCCACAGGTGCGGAAGTCAACGGGAGCCACATTCCAAACCAGGAGCAAGTCTTCATGCATTTAAAAGGGGTAGAGTTGTGTAGAGCATATATATTTGACCCCCAAATCTGGGTCAGAACATCACAAATAACACTATCCTAGTCTTCTTGGGCTGTCATAGCAAAACGCCTCTGATCAGCGGTAGTAAATGACAGCAATGAATTTCCTCACGGTTCTGGAGGCAGGAAGCCCAAGACAAGGGGCACTGCATGGTGCGGGAGCTCTCGCTGACTGGCAGACGACTTCCTCCTGGCATTTCCCTATAGGGTGTCAGTCCTGTAGGGCTAGAGACCCACCCTTATCACCTCATTTAACATCAATTACATTTAACATCAATTATCTCCAAATGCAGTCCTGTCTGAGTTAAGGCTTCACTATATGAATTTGGGGGAGGGCACACAATTTAGTCCGTAGCTAAAATACAGCAGAGTAACCCATGGTCAAAGAAAAAAAAATCATAAAAGGAATGAGAAAATAGATTTTTTTCGACAAATAGCTATTTTAAGTTGTAATATGCTTACTTTTTGTGTTTTTTTTTAAATATTTATTTATTTATGCATACAAGAGCTGGGGTACAGGCCAGAGGTGTGCGGGGGGGGGGTGAGAGGATTCACCAGAGACAGAGCGGGGAGCAGAACAGGCAGACTGACTGAAATACACTGCTGAGTGGAACATTAGGGAGACAGGAGAGGTCTGCTGCGCCATATGGGTTGCTCCCTGGCCAGCCAGGGATTGAACTCGGCTGCAGAGGTTGCGGATTGCTTCATAGTGCAGTGCTTAACCCCTTGTGCCACCAGGGAGGCCCTGTAGTATGCTTGTTAATACTATATAATAAAAATGTACAAAGAATAATACTGCAAATTTGGTTAGATTTAAGTCAGACATTCTTAATAAGGAATCTGTGAGTGTGACTATCCAGAACTTTCTCTAGGTCCTCTGATCAGAACAACTGCTTCTGACTATCACCCTACTTTGGAA